TATATAATATTATTAATATATATATTATATATATTATATTATATAATATTATATAATATATTATATATATTATATTATATAATATTATTAATATATATATTATATATATTATATTATATAATATTATATAATATATTATATATATTATATTATATAATATTATTAATATATATATTATATATATTATATTATATAATATTATATAATATATTATATATATTATATTATATAATATTATTAATATATATATTATATATATTATATTATATAATAACGGCCTCAAATTTCAAGGATGGGTTGTATTTTAAGAGAATTAATAAATAATATATCTCGCTTATAAAGCTTATTAAAGCCAAGGCTTATCAAACCTCTTATTAAATAATTTAAAATTGATTATTTTGTGTGTCGTATCTCATAGAAATATTTATCGTCAACTCAATTTCCGCTATGATGAAATACAAAAATTCATTAATTGTCATTTCATTTTCTCTACTTTCTTTTATTTCTTCTTTATGTTTATTCATTATGTATCGTTTCTATTATTGTTACGACGACGAAATAAATCTTCTGTTTTTTCCTAATTCAAATACCATTTACATTTATTGCAAATCTCTTGCCTTAAATTTCCCGAAAAGTCAAAACGTCAACTTAAATACCGACGCATATATAACATATACATATGCATACAATGTATATAATATACCTTTGTAGTTCGGCAAGCAAGTGCAATCGAGATCCGGATCGGACTTTGGTTTAAAGGTATCCCCGTCGTTGTAAGTTACGCCATCCACCTCGCAAGTCGCTCTCGTTTCACCCTCCTTCACTAAATATTTCATTCGAGTTAATCCTCCTAACACGTTTAAAAACCCTGTTTTCCCTTATCGAAGGAAATCGGTATAGCATTTTAACACTGAACCTACCACGGTCAAAGCAACCGGTTTCTTATTTTGCAATTGTATAAAATTTGAAGTATTAGAGCAATATTGGATTATTATTGCAGCATGTAACTTATAATAAAAACTTTACAAGATCTCAATAACATGAAGAAATATAGGATAGCTTTCTCGGGGACTTTGTTTCCGAGAAAATCGAGTTGTCCAAACAATAATAGGAGTCGTTGTATCACCATTAATGTTCGGACAACATTTAAAACGCAATAACTTTTTTAGCACTGGACTAAACGACTCGAATTTTCTTTTTCTAGATGTTAGAGGGACCAGTCTACGAGATCATAACTAGAATGCTTTCTTTTTTCATTTCGCTATTGCTTGGAATAACGAAAAAAATAAAAAAAAACTCACATTTGAATATTCAAACTCGATTTTCCCGAAAACTAAGTTCCAAACAGAAAAAAGCTGTTCCATTTTATGCTTTTTTATGAGGAGCCATGCTCGCTTGTACATGCTGTTCAAAGACATCCTGTATATTCGATCTTCCTACTTCGACGAGGCAATGCACACCATTAATGTTAATTGAATTCATGCCACGAAGTTTACTCACAGCAAACCGGCGGTCCTGGACAACAGCTGTCGTACGAATGTCTTTGGAAACAATTCTCTTCTTGAGGGTAATATCCGCAGTCGACCGCGGCGCAAATAAACGAAGCTGCTCTGTCAATACATTAGAATATAATAATATATAAGAATATATAATACGAATAATAATATAATAATATAGATAATAATATATATATATATATATATATATATATATATATATATATGAATAATAATATATATATATAATAATATAGATATATATATATATATGAATAATAATATATATAATAATATAGATATATATATATATATGAATAATAATATATATAATAATATAGATATATATATATATATGAATAATAATATATATAATAATATAGATATATATATATATATGAATAATAATATATATAATAATATAGATATATATATATATATGAATAATAATATATATAATAATATAGATATATATATATATATGAATAATAATATATATAATAATATAGATATATATATATATATGAATAATAATATATATAATAATATAGATATATATATATATATGAATAATAATATATATAATAATATAGATATATATATATATATGAATAATAATATATATAATAATATAGATATATATATATATATGAATAATAATATATATAATAATATAGATATATATATATATATGAATAATAATATATATAATAATATAGATATATATATATATATGAATAATAATATATATAATAATATAGATATATATATATATATATATATATATGAATAATAATATAGAATATATAATACGCGTATATACAACGAAATAAAGTAGCCAACGTTGACAATCTTTATCGTTACTCACCGGCCACTATATCCTTTGGAACACGTGCAACCTAGGTCGCAAGGATTCTTGTCCTCGTCCCTCAACTGTTCGCCTAGATTGTATTCGTGGCCATTTACGTAACACTTGTCCCTCGACAAATTGTCCAAGTAGCTACAGTTGAACGCTTCGGGACAGCAATCGTTGGGATTTTTGTACACCGGCGTACAGTCGAGTTCCCGGTAAAACTTCAGCGGGCCCGGGCACTTCGTTTTGTCGCAGATCTCTTTGAAAAGAAAAATGCACGAGATGATCGACGGATCGGTCGGATCGGCAAACGGTTTTATCACAAGACGATGTCTCACCTCGAGCCGCGCAGGAGGCGACGAGAAGTGTCAGGAGGACGCAACGCGGTAGACACCGGTGACAATCACGACGCGCAGACATTGTCGAAGTGATCGCGCGGACAAATCGGCGTTCTTGCAGTCGCGTCGCATCTTTTATATCTCGTACCGACGCTGACCATGAGGAATATGGCAAGGTGAAGTGAGTGGGGCGTCCCATATGTCAAGGTCCTTTTAATGCGGGAACCCAAAATACATGACAAAATCGTGTTCGCTATTCGAACGGAAGCTAATTGCTAAATGGGAAATTGCGAATTTCGATTCTACTGGTTAAAAAATACAATTACGACGATCGAACATTTTTGTTCGTTCCCGGTAACGGTTATCGATGACGGAAATACGTATACTATCGCGGGCAACATTCGTGGACGAGAAAAATTCACGACGGAAACGTTATTTCGTTCATCGATAACACTTATCGACTAGGAAAATTTATTTGAATTTTTCGTTGAAGTTATGAAACAGTGTCGCGCTGCTCTTTGAAACGAGACCAGGGAAACACAACGTACAGGGTGAGTCTCGTAGCATGACCGCACCAAATAACTCATAAAACATTTGTTCTGCGAGAAAAAATGTTTGAAATAGAAGTTGCACGGGTTCCACTTGGGCATATAGTATCGTAATCATAGTTTTACGTTATTTTGCTTTTTTATCAAGATACGAAGGTCACCTTCTATTGTTTAAATCGAATGGTTAACATCTCTTTCCGAATTCGGATAGATCGTTGTATTTTACATAAAAAGAGTATTACGTCGAATGGGGTCTAAAATACATAGTTACGGAGATATTAGAAAAAGTAAATCACGTTAATCAACGTGACCGTTAACACAACGTAATCGGACAACTTTGTTTACGAGCGGCCGATCGGTATTGGTGAACGCAGTCGTCCTATAAGTAACAACGTATGCAACAACGTGTTAGTCGTGCGTGTTTTGCAATAACAGCAGAAACTCTTGAAAATCTTTCTCGCTCTCTAATAATAAGATTACGTAATTATATTGATTGTAACGGGCAGCAGTTCGAACATCGCTTAAAATGAAAGTTACTTTTGTTAACAAAATATTAATATCTCAGCAACTATGTATGTATATTAGACCCCGTTTAGTGCAATACTTTTTTATGTAGAATTCAACGGTTTATCAGAGTTCGGGAAAGAACATCAACTATTGCCATTTGAAAAATTGAAGGTGACCTTCGTATCTTGATATAAAATAACATAAAACTGATAACAATGCTATATGTCCCCCTGGAAGCCATGCAACTTCTACCTGAGACATTATCTCGTACAACAAATATTTTGTGAGTTATGTGATGTGGTTATATTACGGAGCACCCTGTATAACAACTATGTTAACATATTATGTAGTTACTTTCATTAGTATTCGGACACCTTTTAAAACGAAATAACTTTTATTTATTAATATAACTAATATATATATAATAATACTATAATATATATAAATAATACTATATATATAATATATATAATAATTAATATAACTAATATTATAATAATATAATAATAATATAAATTAATATATTATACTAATAATATTAATTAGTATATTTATTAATAATTATTTATTAATACATTCATTAAAATAATTATTTATTAAAATAACTAACGGTTACACTCTTTCCACCATAATACCGAGATTTGTTAACGGCAAATAGACCTTCATAAATTGCCAATGAATTTACAAAAACGCAAACTAAAAAATCCACACAACGCCTGAAATCCTCGATAACCATTATAGGCAAACGAAATCGATTTTCTCACGGATAACACTTATAAGCAATCGAAACTAGTGTTTCTTTCTACGATAACTGTTGCGTCTAACAAATTTCCTTTCCTTCGTCGTTCATGATTACGAACTATATAACTATTACTTGTAACTAAAAAGCAACCGAATGGAAATAGTAATTGTTATGCAACGATGTTTTCCGCTTCGGCTGTTTATCAAATTATGCGAGCAACGTGCGAAGGACATCTAACGACACGAATGCGGGAACGGAGCGGAGAGAGGAGGAATTTACGAAGAAGTTTCGCCGGTTTCTCTCCGTCTATTATTGAGCACATTTTTCAGTTTGTTTCTTTTTTATTATGTTTCTCCGTCGATTTCTCTGTCGCTGTTTCTGTGCCTCGGGAAACTCGATCACGGGGAGCAAACCATTCGACGCAGCGGATGACCTATCCACCGATAGGCTATCGGTCGCCACTCGAGCGTTCTTCAAATTCGTCACGTAGAATCAAATCATAGAAATTCGACAACCGGATACTAATGCACTGCTCGTAGAGACGACCGGAGACTCGATTATTTACAATGGACTAGGACATTAATTAAACATGCACGGATGAAACATCGCGGAAAATGCTTCGCTTGAAACGTGTTTCTCCAAGGTTAATCGGTCAAACGATACCATCTTCGCGATTACCGTAACCATCTGTCCGTGACGCACAAGATGAAACAATAGAATCACGAGGATCATCGGATACAATTTGCCGAGCTGCTTTATTACTTTCTAGAACTATACAAGGGGAAATCCCCTATATCGACGTATCGATCAGAGGAGACAAAAACGCAGTTGACGGTCCAAATACCATATAATTAAATACCATAATTATAATACCATAATTAAAATCTAAAAAGTGTTTTCGTCAACGTTTAGTGGTGATTTACCGAGGTGATTGATTTTGCGCGTAAATACGTTTTTTAACAATTGTCATCGATACCTTGTCAAGGCCGTTGTTATTAACAAATTCGTCGCGTTGTTAACAAGCAGGGAGATACATGCAACCCCGACAAAAAGAAAGGAATCCTGATTAATGGAGCAAGTTTCCAACGCCTTGCCATTCCAGACATTCTAAGCGAAGCCAAGCTGACCGCAAGCGAACAGATATACAAGACACAAGCAGTAAGCCACACTTATTTTTATTTCCCATAGTCTTTTATATCTTTATAATAGCATTTAAATAGTATTTATATAAGTATTAGTATTATAATAGTATTTAAATAGTATTTAAATATATATATTTTCGTTTTACATAGTTTTAGATTGATCCGTCCTATCATCGATAGAACGGAGCAGCGAAAACATCGAAGGCAGGAGCAGCGAGGACGTCACAGCCAGGAACACATAAATCGGAGCGGATAAATTAATTTAATAAACACGTGTACGTATATACTTCGTTCGAAATGAATTGTTCGCTGCATACCACTATAAAATAGAAAATAAAATTTTTTTTCCAATATTAGTTTTTAACTTTGATTATTTTCCTTTCCCCTATAACAATACTATATGTCCCCCTGGAAGCCATGCAACTTCTACCTGAGACATTATCTCGTACAACAAATATTTTGTGAGTTATGTGATGTGGTTATATTACGGAACACCCTGTATAACAACTATGTTAACATATTATGTACAGTTACTTTCATTAGTATTCGGACACCTTTTAAAACGAAATAACTTTTATTTATTAATATAACTAATATATATAATAATATAATAATAATAACTAATATTATAATAATATAATAATAATAATATTAGTTAATATATTATACTAATAATATTAATTAGTATATTTATTAATAATTATTAACTTTGATTATTTTCCTTTCCCCTACGTTATAGTGTATTAAGTAGATCTTTTCCGTTAGTTGTCTTCTGTTAGTTTGTATGATGGTGTACATAACTATTTTCGAAAAAAAATCTACTTAATTAATACACGCTTAATATATTCTGGCTCTAGAATCCAGAATTTGAATTACCGCTTCTAAACCGCCATACTGAATTTTAGTTCGTTCAAGTTTGTAGCTAGTTCAGATGGCAGTCAAAGCAGTGCCTCAAAAATTGACTAAGAGTCGAGCCTTCCTGAAGTCACCCAACTTAACTGTGACTAACTAGGGAGAGAAGGAAAGAGAGAGAAAATTAGCATCTGCGACAAAATTCGTTAACCACTTTGTAAATTATAAGTGATCTCAAGTGATTTCTTGATGAAAGAAGAAGGAAGTACATACTTATAACCTATAACGTACAAGATTGTTTATTTACATATCGACTCGTAGGCACAAGAAATAAATATTTCGTGGCATTACAATTTATAATTAACATTGAGTATTAAACCGTCTCTGTTAAAAAAATCTAAACTTTATTATAATAGGTCAATAACATAGTATAATATGGTGATATGTTAACTTTGCTACGAAAATCCTATTCACGTGGGTTAACCTATTTGTATCCATACTCAATACTTGATCAACATCTGGTGAAAAGATATTCGCAACCGAAAGTAATAATAAATATGAACGAAGTTTGTATAGTACACGACGAAGATAGCGACAATTTTCAAGTATCGCTTCGATATGTTAATAATGATTTAAATATCGACAGACAATTCAATTTTAGAAGAACAATGAACGAACCCATAAATAATTTTCTTCGAAGACTAGATTTGAATATAAATAATTGTATAACGAAAAAGCGCAAAAAGGGCAACAAACGTAAAGGGACTGATGATATAAATTCAACAGAAAACACAGTTGACAATATTGAAACCAAAATGATCAAATTAATGAAAAATAATTCAGATCTTGATGGTAATGTTAGTTGGAAGACGATGTTGGAAGACCCGTCAAATATAAAATTGATTATTTTTGATACAGAATATATGTTCAAACGTAATGTACCTTCTGTCACTAAAATACAATTACCATCATGTATTTTAGTTGGCTTTCCTGCATATCCTTCAACGTTTGTATCACAATATGTTGATAAAACAAAATCAACTTTTAATTGGTATAAATACGAAGGTGGCAAAAGGATTCACGTTGGAGAAGGTTACGTATATACACCAAAACTATCTGACATGGGTTGTAAATTAAAAGTGTCATGTATACCAAGAAACAATGATCAGATTGGACCTATGATAGAAGTTGTTTCTAATGGTGTAGTAGAAGCAGGTCCAGGACCCTGCCCATTTGAAACTAGACACACTTTTACTCAAAGTAATTTATCTGGAAAAAGGTAAATTCGAACAAAAAAAGTTTTGATTTTAAATTTATTTATTTAAATGGATCATTAGTAAATTATTTGAATTAAAGTTTTAGAGTAACATCCTATAACATACTGGCAGGTGTATATTCTGAAACTGGCTTTTCTAAAGAAACATTGTATCCATATTGTCCACAGTATGCTTTATCTAAGAATTATAGGAAATTGCTAATTCTTAAAGAATTAATAGGTAACTTTTCTTTTACCAACTACTTGTTATGAAAATAAACATATTTAAATGACAGTAACAAATTTTATTACAGGATATAATGCAGATATTATATGTCTACAAGAAGTAGACCTCAAAGTTTATGAAGATGACTTAGTACCATTTTTATCTACATTAAACTATAATGGCATATGTAATCTTAAAAATGAATCAAGAGAAGGACTTGCAATTTTTTATAATCGGGACAGATTTGATCAATTGGATTCAAATTTTAGTATTATAGCACATGATACAGATTCAAATGATTTTAATACTACATGGCTGCAGATTCAAAATGACAATGTAAAACAAATGTTTGTAGATAGAAATACGATTATACAGGTATTAAAAAACGACCTCTATTAGACTGTTAACAATATTATAAATACTAATTAACATTGTATCTATTTTTAATCTTGTTGTGTCCTTAATGCACATACCCACGTATGTTACGTATGTCACACTATATTAACAAAGAACAGCGTTAAACTGTATAAACTTTATTAAATTTAAAACAATGTTTTATTTTCGCGCGCGTGCCACGGAAGAATTGTATGACGTCAATTTTCTCTTTGCAATCATGTGAAAACAAGTTTGAAAATTGATTTACAGATCTGGAATGACACATTGTGCATTAAGGAATTAATAGAATTCTTAATAATTATTTAAGGAAAGGACTTGTGAAAATCTTCAAATAATGATCTGACAATCTTTACTTATGTTTCATACATTTTTAAAAACTATCAAATAACTGTTGATAGATAATATGTCAATTAATCGTTTGAATATGTATAAATTGTGTTGTAGGCAATAGCGCTGAAATCTAAAGAAAATTCAGAAATCTTAATTGTTGGCAATACACATTTATATTTCCGACCAAACGCAGATCACATACGTTTACTACAAGCGTATTATTGTCTAATATACCTCCAAACATTTGCCCAAGAAACAAAACTAAAGGTAACTACATTCCAAAAGTTTCCGAATTAAAATTTGTAGAGAATTTTATTAACTAGATAAATTTCCAGAATCCAGAATGTAATGTTAGCATCTTGTACTGCGGGGACTTCAATAGTTCACCAGAAAATGGTATTTATCAATTAATGACTCAGAAACTTATTCCAGAAGATTATGCTGATTGGAAGTCATGTGAGTTAATGTTATAATAAGACAGGAATCTACATAGAATATTTTGAATTTGTTTCTAATATTACCTTATTAATCTATTATAGGTCCTGAGCAAATCATAGAAAATGTAACTTTGAAGCATGATATTAATTTATCTAGTGCTTGTGGTACTCCAGAATTTACAAATTACACAAGTACTTTTTCTGGATGTTTGGATTATATATTTTATCAAACAGATTATTTAGGAGTAGAACAGGTAATTCCAATGCCAAGTAAGGAGGAGCTAAGTTTGCATACCGGCCTTCCATCTGTAGTGTTTCCAAGTGATCATATTTCTTTATGTGTTGATTTAAAGTGGATAAAATAAAAATTAGTTTATCTTGAAAAAGTTGTATTTTTTATTAATTGGTTATACCTTGGGAGTCTTGCAATCATCAGACTCGAACAATTTCTAGAGAGTTTAGGAACAAATGAATCCAGTGCAATCTAGAAATGTTCAAAGGTATTTTATAGGTATCTAGAAATATCTACTATCAATATTTATAAAGCAATGATGTATCTCCTAATTTATTACTAAATTGTACATGGTCTCGTATGAGTTTCATTTAGCCGTTAAAGTGCTATACTCTGCATTCATGTTTTCCATATCTCTAATAGAAATGATACAACTGACATTGTTGTAGTATATCATTAAAGCTCGATTATATTTTGTGAAATGTATAACTAATCGAGAGTTACTGTCACAGTTAAGTAAGATCTTTAGTTACATGAAAAATAGGGATTACAATAATGCATTATAAAAATATAACACAATATAATTAGACAGGAGAAATACGACCACATTGCTCAGTTTATGTTAATGTGGCATAAGAAGTGCAGTTGCGTCCAGTTCTCTGAATTTTTACTACCAGTTTTCGAAAAGATGACAGGACATAGAGAAACTTGTAGGAATCTATAATGTATGGTAGAAGAGTGGAATCTCGTAGATTTCTATGCACGCCACTGTAGTGGACAGAATATGCGCGCTTCTTTCTTCTAATTAACTTTAAGCATCAAAAGATTAAACAATAATTGCAACTTTAAAGAATTTTTACGAAACAACCGCAATACCTTTTCGTGTCAATACTTTTAAAGTAACATTTGTAATCTTAAGTTAAATACATACAACAAATGAGTAACAAAGAATCTTTATATTCCGTTCTACAATAAAAAATGAAAAACTTATATACTTTACAGTCTTCCAAATTATAATACGCGAACGAACAGATATCGGGGAATTTCAAATTTACATTTGTATACTAGAAGATTTTCACTCACACATTCTGTATCACATTAACTTTGCTGTATATTTTATCAAAGTCCTACACTCACACTTCAGTAGTACGAAGTTCACTTTAGTATTTGTATTTATGAATGTTTGATGTTACTTTACAAAACATTTTGTACAATTTAACACGTTTGATTCTTTATTAATAGAGGCCTGCAGGATTAATGAAGAAGTGCTGAACATACTATTATCATCTAAGACATTGCTGTTCTGACGCTTTGTATAACTACAAACATTTGTATATGCCTATGGGTTAAAATTCATATTCTGTAATCTTTATGATGCGTTAGAAATCTGTACCTAAATACAATCAATATCAATTTATATGCATTTTTTCTTAAACTTGGAGATCAAAATTAATATTCTTTTTGTATACAAAATTATAAATTGGGAATGTTCGTAGACAATCTCTTTCTCTAACTGTAAGTTCTACAAAATGAAGGTTTAATTCACGAACACTCTGTGATTACAAGGCCATTATACATATATATAATTACATAAAAAGAATATATAATATTAGCACGAGATATAATTAGAGCCTTAAATATTAGCTTTGCGCCAATTTATTTATATATTAACATTTTTAAAA